TATGTTACCAGAGCTCCCAAAAAGAATATAGTATATTTTTAATTTAAACAGTATTTACTTCAAGGTAAAAGACAATGATGAAATATCAGAAGTATATGCAATAAAGTCAGAAATACTATAACCAGAAAGGATGTCTTCTGTTATTACTTCTGTTTAGTGTTAATTTTAGACAGCTGTGTGATCAAGTTGTTGTTGTGTTGTTGTTATGTGCCATTGAGTTGGACCCAACTCATAGCGACCCCTCCTTGGGTTTCCGAGGCAGCATCACTACAGAAGTGATTGCCCCATCTTCCTTCTGAGGAGTGGCTGGTGGGTTTGAGCTGCCAGCCTTCTGGTTAACATGTGAAATAGATAAAATAAATAAATATTGACAGAAAAGAAGTAATATTATTTCCTTTTAATATAATTGTTCACCCATAAAATCCAAACAAATGCACTAACAAGCATTAGAACTGTTTGTTGTTGTTAGGTGCCATTGACTAGGCTCCGATTCATAGCAACCCTATGTACAACAGAATGAAACACTGCCCGGTCCTGCACCAGCCTCCCAATCCTTGTTACAACTGAGCCCATCATTGCAGCCACTGTGTCAATCCATCTTGTTAAGGGCCTTCCTCTTTTTTGGGGGAGCTTCCCCTTTACCAAGCATGATATCCTTCTCCAGGGAATGGTCCCTTCTGAAAACATGACCAAAGTAGGTCAGACAAAGTCTGGCCATTCTCGTTTCCAAGAAGCATACCGGCTGTACTTCTTCCAGGACAGATTTGTTAGTTCTTCTAATAGTCCATGGTACTTTCAGTATTCTTCATTAACACCATAACTCAAGAGTATCAACTCTTCTTTGGTCTTCCTTAATGATTGTCCAGCTTTCACATGCATATGAGGCAACTGAAAATACTATGGTTTGGGTTAGGTGCACCTTAGTTTTCAGACAGACATCTTTGTTCTTCAGCACTTTGAAGAGGTATTTTGCAACAGATTTTCCCAGGGCAATATGATGTCTGATTTCTTGACTGCTGCTTCCATTGGCGTTGATTGTGAAACCAAGTAATATGAAATCTTTGACAACTTCCATCTTCTATCATGTGCTGCTTATTGGTACAATTGTGAGGATTTTCGTTTTATTTATGTTGAGGTGTAATCCATACTGCAGACTGAAGATTTAATCTTCATCAGTAAGTGCTTCAAATCATCCTTACTTTGAGCAGGCAAGGTTGTGTTATCTGCATATGACAGGTTGGTAATGAATATACCTCTAATCCCAATGTCACATTCCTCTTCATATAGTCCACCTCCTCCTATTATTTTCTCAGCATACAGAATACAATCCTGACATACTCCCTTCCTGCTTTTGAACCAAGCAGTATCCCTTTGTTCTGTTTGAATGACATTCTCTTGGCCTATGTACAGGTTCCTCATAAGCACAATTAAGTGTTCTGGAATTCCCATTCTTCTCAATGTCATCCATAATTTGTTATGATTCACATAATCAACCGCTTTGGCATAGTCAATAAAACACAAGTAAACATCTTTCTGGTATTCTTTGTTTTTGGCCAAGATCCATCTGACATTAGCAATGATGCCCCTTTTTCCACGTCCTCTTCTGAATCCAGCTGGCATTTCTGGAAGTTCTTTGGCAATATACTGCCGCAACCATCTTTGAATTATCTTCAGCAAGATTTTACTTGTGTGTGGTATTAATGATATTGTTTGATAATCTCCACATTCTGTGGGATCACTTTCTTTGGAATGGGTACAAATATGGATCTCTTCCAGTCAGTTGGCCAGATAGAGGTCTTCCAAATCTCTTGGCATAGCCGAGTAAGTGCCTCCAGCAAGGCATCCATTTGTTGAAACATCTCAATGGGTATTCCTTCAATTCCTGGAGCCTTGATCTTTGCCAAGTCCTTCATTGCAGCTTGAACTTCTTTCTTCAACACCATTGGTTCTTGATCATAAGCCACCTCCTGAAATGGATGAACATCAATCAATTCTTTGTGGTACAGTGACTGTATATTCCTTCCATCTTCTTTTGATGTTTCCTGCATCGTTCAATATTTTGCCATAGAATGGTTCAATACTGCGACTCAAGGCTTAAATTTCCGCTTTAGTTCTTTTAGCTTTAGAAATGCTGAGTGTGCTCTTCCCTTTTGGTTTTCTAATTCCAGGTCTCGGCACATTTCATTATAATACTTAACTCTGTGTTTTTGAGCTGCTCTTTGAAATGTTCTGTTCAGTTCTTTTATCTTATTATTTCCTCCATTTGCTTTAGCTACTCTCCACTCAAGAGCAAGTTTCAGAGTCTCTATCAATATCCATTTTGGTCTTTTCTTCCCTTCCTATCTTTTCAATGACCATTTGCTTTCCTCCTGTATGATATTTTCTTCATGTCATCCCACAATTCCTCTGGCTTTCGGTCACTGGTGT